CCCTGAATTTGGAGGCAGCTGGTCAGAAGTGAGGGTGGCCTAGGGACCCCCAAGCTTGCAGCTTATGTCCCGAGGAAGTAGTAAGAAGCCCTGAATTTGTAGCTAGCTGGTCAGAAGTGAAGGTGGCCTAGAGACCTCTGAACTTGCTGTTGGTGTCTGAAGTGATGGCAGTGTTATAGAGGACTGTGCCCTTAACCTGTGAAGTTTAGCCTAACTCCAGGCAGTTCAAACTCACCCAGAGGCACCTGGAAAGAAAGTCCTGGCGATCTGCTTCCAAAAGATCACAGCCATGAAAACCCTATGGAGGGCAGTTCTGCTCTGAAATATAGGGGTCACCATGAATCAGGGTTGACTCCATGGCACCTGGTTTGGTTTTTGGGGTTTTTTCCCCCAGTTAGCTGGTTTCTGAAGTCATTTACATAGGCAAAGGTATATTTTAATTTTCCCATCTATGTATAGTAGCTATAGACAGACATTTTTCCTTTGAAGTAATACCAAAAACCAAAAAAAGAAAGAAAAAGAGAAGCCGCACTATATTTAAGGTGAGGAAAATAAAATACCCACATGCACACACACAGTTTTTTCTTTCATGAAAGCTAGGAAATTGTTTTCAAGGAGAAATGTATGACCTACAGTTGCAATGTTTAGACATTTGGCAATTGGATAAAATAATTTTTTGGTGAAGATAGCAAAACAGATTGACATAAATGTACATTAGGGTAGTGACTTTCATTTCTTGTACATACACAGTGAAAGTTCTAAGCAATAAATTCTTGGAAAAGTAGGATAGGGATTGGATAAATGTCGTAGTTTATGACTGAATACATATAAACAGGTGAAAACTCAAGATGGAGCGGTAATAGTAACCACCTGATAAAGAGACTTAAAACCCTTTCACCCTACAAAAAAGACATTGCTTTAGAGCTATAACTTGGTATTATAGTTTGATTTTTTTAAAACATATTGGTTATACTTGGTGGCTACTATGGATACATAAAATAAAGAGTGGAATGTCCTTTGTTCCCCAATACAAAGAAGTATCTATCATTTAAAATCTTAACTGTAAAAGATTTTATTTATATGTTTTTGATGCTACAGATTCTGAAACTAATACCAAAATACCAAAATTATTGAAAAAAGTGACACAGTCACTATTTCTTTCATGGGTGTCTTAAAAATAAAGGATGGTTGACTCTGCAAAATTGTGTAGCTATTTCAAGTTGACTACTAGGCTGAAAAGGAGCCCTGGTGGCACGACAATTAAGCACTCGGCTGCTAACTGAATGGTTGGCAGTTTGAACCTACCCAGCAGCTCCATGGGAGAGAGACCTGGCTATCTGCTCCCATAAAGATTACAGCCTAGAAAACCCTAGGGGGCAGTTCTACTCTGTCCACATATGGTCACTATGAGTCAAAATCGACTCAACGGCACCTAACAACCGAGCTAAAGCAAAAACATATCATGAGCCTCCAGACCTTTCCTTTATCCCCCAAATTCAACCTATACTCTCTGTTCCACCTCTAGATTTCAGACTTTTTATGCCTTTTATCTTCGGTTACCTAAGTGTCATGACACCTTCTCCCTTACAAGAATCCTCTATAACAGATAACTGCAGCCTACTTTGATTTTCTCTCCCTTCTGAATTTCTGTTACACCTACAGAACCTTAAGAGCTCTTCTCTGCTGTTTAACTTTTAAGCTCCCTGAGGCCAGGACATTTTGTTATATTTCTTCATGCACGATAATTAACAAATGCTGGGAGACCAATAAGCATGGAAAACAAGTTTTGGGGAAATTCAGAAGAGGGAGCAGTGAGTAGTGTGATACAAGTTACTTGGAGTCAGCACATCATGAGGGAGACCTAAACTAAAAAAAGACCAGGTCTTGGGGAAGATAAGGAGGGCATCCCACTAGATCACAACATGAGCTGAGGCACAAATATGCATAGACTAGTGGCTTAGACACAAGGTGCCAGTTAATATTGAATGAATAAACTAATGAACAAATGAATATATTCTTAATAGAGTGACTTAGCCAAGTTTACTGGATTGTTCTTTTTAAGGCATTCATTCGTCAAACATTTTTTAGTTCTAGGTTACAAAGATAAAGAAATTATGCTTAAGGTGTTCAAAGGCTGATGAGGCAGACAGAAATGTATAAAATTATTGAAATATGTTAACTGCAATAAAAGTTATGCACAAGGTCTATGGGAGCACGGAGGAGAAAGCTGCAGAGAAGATTTTTATAGGATAGTCCACGTTCTCAAAGGCCTTAAATGATAGGCTCAGTTATTTGCACATTATTTTGGTTATCATTAAGGTAAGCTATTACAACATTCAACCATTTCAAGAGGTAGCATGTGATTAAGAACCTATGGTACTGAAGGAAGTGGTCCAAGCTGTGCTAAAAAACATTGGCAAAAAACAAGGCTCCAAGAATTGACAGAATACTAATTGAGTTGTTTCAACAAATGGATGCAGCGCTGAAAGTGCTCACTTGTCTATGCTAGGAAATTTGCAAGACAGCTACCTGGCCAACGGGAAAAACTCAATATTTGTACACATTCCAAAGAAAGGCGATCCAACAGAATGCTGAAATTATTGAACAATATCATTAATATCACACACAAGTAAAATTTTTTTTTATTGTACTTTAGATGAAAGTTTACAGAACAAATAGTTTCTCATTAAACAGTCAGTACATATATTGTTTTATGACATTGGTTAACAACCTGAAGACATGTCAACACTCTCCCTTCTCGACCTTGGAGGACCTTTTTTTTTTTGGTGAAAATATTCATAGCCAAAGATACACCATTTCAAAAATTTCTACATGTACAATTCAGTGACATCAATTACATTCTTCCAGTTGTGCTGCTATTCTCACTATCCTTTTCCAAATTATTCCATCACCATTATCTTCAACTCACTGTCCCTGAGGCTTCCCATCAAACCTCTTGAGTTGCTGTTGTCAATTTGATCTCACGTAGATAATTCTTTTTTTGTGTGTGCTTTAGATAAAGGTTTATAGAACAAATAGTTTCTCATTAAACAGTTAGTAAACATATTGCCCTATGACAATGGTTAACAACCCCACGACATGTCAACACTGTCCCTTCTCAACCTTGGGTTCCCTATCACCAGCTTTCCTGTCCCCTCCTGTCTTCTAGCCCTTGTCCCTGTACTGCTGTGCCTCATTAGTCCCGTTTTGTTTTATGAGGCTGTCCAGTCCCCAGCTGAACAGTGAACCTCGGGAGTGACTTCACCACTGAGCTAAAAAGATGTCCGAGGGCCAAACTCTTGGGGTTTCTCAAGTCTCTGTTGGGCCAGCACAAGTAAAATTTTGCTGAAGATCATTCAAAAGGGGTTGTAGCAGTACATGTACAGGGAACTGCCAGATATTCAAGCTGGATTCAGAAGAGGACGTGGAACAAGAGGTATCATTGCTGATGTCAGATGGATCTTGGCTGAAAGCAGAGAATACCAGAAAGATGTCTATCTGTGTTTTATTGACTATGCAAAGGCATTTGACTGTGTGGATCATAACAAATTATGGATAACATTATGAAGAATGGGAATTCCAGAACACTTAATTGTGCTCATGAGGAGCCTGTACGTAGATCAAGAGGAAGTTGTTCAGACAGAACAAGGGGATACTGTGTGGTTTAAAGTCAGGAAAAATGTGCATTAGGGTTGTATCCTTTCACCATATTTATTCAATCTGTATGCTGAGCAAATAATCCGGGCAGCTGAACTATATGAACAAGAACGAGGCATCAGGTTTGGAGGAAGACTCATTAGCAACCTGCAATATGCAGATGACACAACCTTGCTTGCTGAAAGTGAAGAGGACTTGAAGTACTTACTGATGAATATCAAAGACCACAGCCTTCAGTATGGATTACACCTCAACATGAAGAAAACAAAAATCCTCACAACTGTCCAATAGGCAACATCATGATAAATGGAGAAAATATTGAAGTTGTAAAGGATTTCATTTTACTTGGATCTACAATCAATAGCCATGGAAGCAACAGTCAAGAAATCAAAGGACGCATTGCATTCGGCAAATCTGCTGCAAAGGCCTCTTTAAAGTGTTAAAAAGCAAAATGTCACCTTGAAGACTAAGGTGCGCCTGACCCAAGCCTTGGTGTTTTCAGTTGCCTCATATGCATGGGATAGCTGGACAATGAATAAGGAGGACTGAAGAGGAATTGATGCTTTTGAATTATGGTGTTGGCGAAGATTATTGAATAAAGCATGGGCTGCCAAAAGAACAAACAGATCTGTCTTGGAAGAAGTACAACCAGAATGCTTATTAGAAGCGAGTGTGGCAAGACTTGGTCTCACATACTTTGGACATGTTATCAGGAGGGACCAGTCCCTGGAGAAGGACATCATGCTTGGTAAAGTAGAGGGTCAGTGAAAAAGAGGAAGACCCTCGATGAGACGGATTGACACAGTGGCTGCAACAATGGGCTCAGGCATAACAGCGATTGTGAGGATGGTGCAGGACCAGCTATTGTTTCGTTCTGTTATACGCAGGGTTGCCGTGAGTTGGAACCAACTCAACGGCCCTAACAACAACAACAACAACATTGTGTCAGAGTGACTTTGAAAGGCTTATGGCAGCACTGATCCTAGGATTTCCTTGTAGGTCTTAGTTAATAGGCACCTCTGAGAGTTCCCTGGCCCAGTCGCATAATTATACTTCAAATTCAGTTGAAAGCAATAGTCAGGATGTGGTTGGACAATAACCTTTAATGTTGAAATTTTGTAAATATCAAATTGAGATGCTTTAATTATTGTGGAGACCTGAAATATCTACATAACTTGAAAAGATATTGTTGGCTTTGAAGGTTATAGTTGAATATATTTGAAATCTGAAAAGAGAGAACAAGGAAAATAAAATTGGTTTGGATTTTGCTGAGTTTTCAAAGGTGTTTTTAAAGATCTATAACTTAACAGGTATTTCTGTTCCAAATTGTTATCTATTTCCAGTCATTAGGTCCTTCAAAAATCCAGCGGAAGAAAAGTATTGCAACTTATTCTCCAACAACTGGAACTTGTCAAATGAGCCCATTTGCTTCTCCCACAAGCTCTAAAGAACAAGAGCACAGAAATGGACCATCAAATGGTTAGTTGAACATTCATTTCCACTTATTTTAAGATTTTCTAGTTATTGGTTAAATCAAGATTTTGATTTAATAATATATAGATGTTGCTGCAGCTGATTTTTTTCTTCTCAAAGAATTCAACATAGGAAAAGCTAGAATGCAGGTAATTCTTTAGGGGTAAATGTAAACTTTTTAGGCACTTATTTTAAAAATGCTACTGCAGACTTTGTTCCCTTACAATCCTATCCATTAAATAGAAATCATGGCCTGACTGTCTTCAGCTACTAGCAGTTACAATAGTTACAGATACGCCCCTTAACAAGGTATCCATTGTGTGCATAAATTAAAGGACACGTAATTCAGGTACTGCTGCTCTACAGTGTAAGAGTGATAGTTCTAAATGTTATTTTTAGCTATGTTGTCCATTTTAGTTTTATCCACATTTAGTGTATCTTTATATAGCTTGCCTTTATTTATTGTATTTCATTCCTTTCTTTTTTCTATACTGTTTTAAATGTGTTGGCAAAAGGTTTGTGGTATTTTCCATTAGAGGAAAGATTAATTTAAATATAAAATTCTTTATTTTAAACTATTGTTAAATTTTGACCATACGTATTTGTTGTTTTGTAGTAGTTTATTGCCAAAATACCTATTTTTAAAAATACCCTAACTGAGATTTCATAGATTTGATTAATATTTGAAAAGGTTATGAATCAGTGACATCAGTTTTTATCATACAGAATTTTTGGGTATGCTCAAATTTAATAAAATGTAACTTAGATAGGCTGTGATTAGCCTAATACATATTTTCTTGTTTAACACTTACTGAGTGCTAAACATATACAGTAAGCTACAGAGAAACAGAGAAGCCTCTTCACTTTACCTAATTTTGTTTAAATGAAACACATAATGAGATCTTAAACTTCTGAATGACTTTATCTAATTAATACTTTTTATCTTAAAACTGTTACTATTATGTTTGCTTTCACAAAAATGTATGAAAGTGTATACATTTTCTTCAAGTTCCCTAGTCCTGTTTTATATGCACCTGATACATCTTTTTTTACAATTAAAAATTAATATCTTAGAGATTGCACAGCTCTATACTGAAATGTGAATAGATTTTAAGTGGATATGTCCTCAATTTCCATATTTAAATTAAATATGAACTAAAGGGAATATTCCTTTTACCCATAAAAAGACTGGTCACATGATCACAGTTGACATTTAGGTGGATAATTATTACAGATTATAGTACTAAGTAAGCTTTTTTAAAAAGTCATATAGTCATATAGTTTCTGAGGTGCTGACAATATTCTATTTCTTGTCCTATGTAATAGTTACACTGGTTTACTCTGATTATTTATTAAACTGTACATACATGTTTTGCATATTCTTCAATATGTATACCTCACATACAGAGTCTCAGAATAGGATTATAGTGTCTAGAATTCTGTATCAGATGATATCATTTGTGATCATTACATTGCTCATCCTAATATTTCACCTTGTACATATATTAAAACTAAGAAAGCCTGATTCTTCTGAAGTAACTTAAGTTCCAAATAAGTAAGAAAATATGACTTATATAGTAAGTTTCAAATGGGGTCATAACCTGTATTAACAATTTCCACTTTTTAAATATTGTACAAAATATATAATTTAAATAAACATTTTTATTTAAATAACATTTTCAAGGACATTTTATTTGCTACTCACTTTCTCTCATACTTAGAGTAAAATCCCAAATCCTTATCATGACTTTTAAGGCTATGCATGATCTAATACTTGATCACCTCATCTACCTCATTTTCTACTACTCTTCCCTATATTTATGTTCTTTAGCCATGTTGATCTTCTTGCTATTCCTCAATTATTCTGAGCCCCTCCTGCCGTAGGTGCACTTGCAGTTCTCTCCATCTGGAATACTCTTCCCTCAGATTTTTATGTGTACTTTCTATATACATTTGAACTTTATGAACAGAGGCTTACTATTAAATTTAAATTCATTCATGGTTATAAAAAGGAAGGAAAATCTGGTTCTGTTTCTTCCCTCTACTTAGACTCTAAATGGGCCAAAAATATCTAACTTAACACCGAATGATTGGCTCCAACTCTTTATACTTTTAAGAGAACTGAGATTTATATATTATACTGATGCCCTTCCCTATCCCTTAATAAATTTCTCCAAACAATTATGCTTTTGAGAGAAGAGAAAAGATAGTAAATCTTTCCCACTCCCTCACTTCCAAGAGCACACCAGACTTATCATTTAACAATGAGAGTAGAAGGTTAAACAACAAATTTGGCATAGTTAAACGTAGTACTTGTACACTGGACAATACATGTGAGGAAACCACCCAGACTGTGGCAATATAGCACAGAGAGATAAAGAGATAGAGAATGTATAAAACAGTAAAGAGAAATAATGGATCGAATAAGAAGGTCCAACTATGTCAGATAGAAATTCCACAAGAAGGAAATAGAATGAGGCAAAGCCAATAATCAAAGACACAAGGACTATAAGCGTTCCATAATTTAAATAGAAACGTGAATTTCCTGATTAAAGTAGTATACTTATTCTGAGCAGAATGAATTAAAACAGATCTACACCTAATTTTGTCATGGTAAAACTGTAGCGCATCAAAGACTAAAAGAAAAATTTTTAAGCAGTCAGAGAAAAGACATATTACCTGCAAGAAATGACAGACTGATAGTAGACTTCTGATCAGTATCAGTGGACTAAAGAAGGAATGAAGTAATAATCCCAACTAAGAATGACAGCTAACTTTTCCTTCGGGAAGTGAAGATGAAATAAAGATGTTTTCTGATAAAGTCTGAGAGAGTTTACCATTAGCAGACCCTCACTGAAAGGACTGCTAAAGAAGGTACTTCTGTAAGAAGGTAATTGCACCTCAAATAAAGAAGTAGAATGCAAAGAGCAACAGTAAAAAAGTAAATTAGAAAACAGGTTAGTAAATCTAATTGCAAACTAACTCTAAAGCAAAAGACAAACAGTTTGACAGAGTTAAAAACAAAAAATGGACTACACTAGCATGGAATATAGATAAGGGGGGTAGACAGGTGTTAAAGTGTTTTATAGTCCTTGTATTTTTCCAGGCAGAAGATGGGATATCTATAAATCAATTTTTGATTGTGTTTTTGTCTCCATGCCTGTAAGATGAGGAAAATAATAATATCTACCTCAGGGTTATGATAATTAAATGAATTAATACACAAAAAGTACCTAGATCAATGCCCAACATATAGTTAGTGTTCAATACATACTAATTTATTAATCTATTAATAAATAGCTGCATAACATCATAATTAAGAGCACAGTCTTTGTAGCCAGGCTGTACTCCAGCTGGGTTTCAATCCTGATTCTGGCATTGCTAGGTTTAGGGCCTTGGACAAGTTATTGAACCATTCTGTGCCTCTCTTTTCTCATCTGCAAAATGGGAAAATGGATGACTACCTCACAGAGGTGTTGTGCATATTAATTAGTTAATATATATAATATGTTTAAGACAGTGCCTGGCCCTAATAAGTACTGTGTAAGTGTTAACCGTTATCATCTCCATTGGTTGTGCTTCCAAACATTATGATCTGTTGAAAGTTATCTTCATTAGTTAGAGGACAGGGTCCCTGGAGCCTTACCAGAAAGTTCAAATATAATTCTGAATGTTTTGTGAAACTATACTTAAAGGAAGTCAAGTATACAACTGTTTGTTAACTTATATACACCTTAGCAAGACAAAGTGCATGTAGACCCCACAGTCCTCTAATATATATTAACTGTGTTTACTTTTTTATAGTGGAATGGAATTAAATGAAAGAAAGTAATTATTAAGTAGCTAGAAGATTCTTTCAATGATAGATTATTCAACAGTCTTTGATAACTGATCCAAGTGTTATTCTTAGAGACATCAAAACTCCTCTTATCTAACCATTAAAAAGTATATTAAAAGTATAAGTTTCTTTGTGATGAGATTAATGTTCACATTTTGCAGGATAAGGTATTTGACGAATTCTCTTAGAATAATAAAATGTTTAGAAAAACATTGAATAACTGGTGAAAATTCACATAAAGCATCTTGACAATTTCCAGCCTGATATTACTGACTGCTAGTGCTGAAATGCAAAAATGAATTGCAAATTAAAGGAATAAAATGATTTTAATATTTAATTTTGGAACTTTATTGAAAATAGCATTGTCAAGATTCAGGAAATTATTATTAACCTTTAGGCAGAGATTCTCTGATATACAGGCTTAACGTGTAGCTTGGGTTTTCATTTGTGGTTTTCTACAAAACAGACACATTTCAACTTGATTTTTTTTTTAGGGACAGCTTTTGACAGAATTTTTTTCCCCAAAGTTTTCTAAAATCAATCAATAAAATATTATTGCTCTTTTTCTCCTCTATCCTTTATTAAATAAATATTTAGCCATATTAATTTATTCTGTTTGGAATTTAAGGATACAGACAAATAATGAAAAGTTAATAAACAAGAGCAATAATGAGTGCTTTAACAAAATTTTTAAATCTTAAGTTTTTCTCTTTTTGGCATTAAAGTATATTTTGAGGTAACAGTTTTAATTGTGATATAATTTTTTTTAAGGGAGAAAGACATAATGTCCAGTGTAGCAATGAGGGAAATCATTATTAATTTTTGAACCAATTTCTTAGTGAAATTTTAACTACCAGAGAATAGAAAATGTACTTTTAAATAAGATTTTCCTCTAGTAATAAACAAACCTGTTGCCACTGAGTCGATTCCAACTTACAGTGACTCTATAGGACAGAGCAGAACTGCTGCATAGGGTTTCCAGGGAGCAGTTGGTGGATTAAAACTGCCGACCTTCTGGTTAGCAGATGAACGCTTAACCACTGCACCACCAGGGCTCCATCCTCTAGTAATAGGAGCAAGTAAAAGTAGAGGAATAAAAGTTAAATGAATGGAAAAGTGTAAACTGGCATTGGAAAATCTGTTCCAGACAATATTTCTTAATATGTTAATAAGTTACATTTTTAAAAAATTGCCTCCATGTTGTCTGTGTATTTGGTTTCATCTGAAAGTATTGGATCTTCCTGCATCATTATCTACATCTATACTCTCCAATACATGCAGCTATTAAGCATTTGAAATGTGGCTAGTCCAAATGGAGATATACTGTAAGTATAAAATATACCATATTTCAAAGACTTAGTGTGAAAAAAAAGAATGTAAGTTATCTCACTGTATTGTGTCTTAGTTATCTAGTGTTGCTGTAACAGAAGTACCACAAGTAGATGGCTTTGACAAACAGAAATTTATGTTCTCACAGTTTACGAGGCTGGAAGTCTGAATGCAGAGCACCAACTCTCAGCTCTGGAGCAAGGTCCTTGTCTCTTCAGTTTCTTCTTCCTGGTTCCTTGGAGATCTCCATGTGTCTTGGCATCTGTCTTACCCCATCTGTCTCTCTCTGCTCAATTGTTTAATCTCTTTTTATATCTCAAAAGAGATTGACTCAAGATATACCCTACACTAATCCTGCCTCATTCACATAACAAAGACAACCCATTCCCAAATGGGATTATAACTACAGACATAAAGGTTAAGATTACATATTTTTGGGGGACACAATTCAATCCATAACATATTGATTACATGTTTAAATGATTTTTTATATATATTGGGCTAAATAATATATTATTAAAATTTAGTTCACCTGTTTTTTGTTTTTTCCTTTTTTTAATGTTGCTACTAGAAAATTTAAAATTACATAAGTGGCTCACATTCTATTTCTATTAGAGAGTGCTCAGCTGGTGTTTCATGATTTTGTCTCAAAGCTATCTAAAATAAATAAATCCATTTGTATCAAAAAAATTTAGTAAAATAGAAAACATTGAATAAATAATAGTTCCTGTGTCAGTTGTTAAACAGGTGGAACTATATAAAAATATTTACTGTGGGAGGATGTCACCATATGTACCTTTAAAAGATAGTTTCTCCTAGCTGGTTTTCATTAGTAGTAAAGAGTTTAGATTATTCATTCATTTGCTTGTTTATTCTTCAAGAGCCAGCATATGTAAGCCACAGAGAATCTTTATCCGTACCAATATGTGTCTTCAAATACTTGTGTCTTACTTATGTACTGCTGCTATAACAGAAATAACCAAAAGTGGGAGGCTTTAACAAACAGAAATTTAGTTTGTCACAGTTTAGGAGACTAGAAGTCTGAATTCAGGGCCCTGGCTCTAGGGGAAGGCTTTTTCTCTCTGTCGGCTCTGGAAGAAGGTCCTTGTTCTTTCAGCTTCTGTTTCTTGGTTTCTTGGAGATCTGCACGTGGCTTGGCATCTGTCTTCCCCCAAGTGTGCTTTCTTGCTTAATCTGCTCTTCTTATATCTCAAAAAAGATTGACTCAAGACAGACCCTACACTAACACTGTGTCATTAACATAACAAAGAAACCCATTCCCAAATGGGATTATAACCACAGGTATAAAACCAAAAAACCAACCCGTTGCTGTCAAGTCGATTCCGACTCATAGCAACCCTATAGGACAGAGTAGAGCTGCCCTGTACAGTTTCCAGGGAGCACCTGGTGGATTCAAACTGCCGACCCTTTGGTTAGCAGCCATAGGTCTTAACCACTACGGCACCAGGGTTTCTAACCACAGGTATAGGGGTTAGGATTTACAGCACATATTTTGAGGGGGACACAATTCATTCTATAACAACATGCTTATTAAATGTCGAATGTGTTTAAAGTATATAATTATATAGTAGTGTTGAAAAACAAACTAGTCATAAAAGCTCATAAAACAATTATCTATTTGAGCACTAAATGAAAGCATAATATGCTATAGAGCTATAAAATCTAACTTACATTTCAACTTGGCAGACATTTGAGGGATTATGATTTAGTTAAAACACCGTGTCTTCACTTGTGCCTCTGTGGACTTGTGAAACTTGTGAAAATTTAGATAAGCCATGGCCTGAAATAACTGTATAGCATTTTAAATGGAATCTAACCATTTATTTCTTATATTGTTACCTAAAATAAATACTTTAATGAGTTATATATTTTGGTAGACACTAAATATTTCTGAAGGATCTACTAAATAAATATGCATTTAAAGAGTCAGATTCTTTTCCCCCTAAAATCAGCTCTTATTATGTGGTATCACTAGAAATTCACCATTTTCTAGGTATTGGTATCACCAATCCCTTGTTGCTGCTGTAAGGAAAAAAATAGGATAAAATGATGAAAAGTAGAAGCTTTAATACAATAATCCTTCCTTAAAATATTTTTATCTAGTTAATGTGTTTAAAACTAATTATATTGTAAAATTGGTTTCTCTAATTTTCTCCTTAATATGCCAAATTCCAGTGGTAATTCTATTTTAAAAGATTGTTTTTTCTGTATAATGTCATGTTTTCTGTATAATGTCATGGTGAGTAAAAATTAGGAGAATGGGAAATGGGAAAAAAATATCTATTGAGAAGTTTGTGAGAACAGTGAAAAAAATTTTCCCATTTGAAATTTCAGGACACTTTTTCTTTTCCTACCTTCCTTTCATTTGTTCACTCTTATTTTCTGTTTAAAATTTGGCAATCTAAATTCTATTTAAAATTTGGGAATTTCTCCTTAACCTTGTGTTCTTCTTATTATACAATGTATAGGAAAGAAGGAAAAATTGAATAACCTCAATTCCAGATTGACTGAAAGAAAGGAACCTAGAACAAATGACAATGATGAGTAAGTTTGTTCATTTTGAAATAATACACGTGTCTTGCAAGAAAAGGTTCATAGTTGTGAACATGACAACTTAGAGAAATCATTTCTTTATAGAAAATAATAATATACACCTGAGTTGTAGTCTTTCTTAAAGTAGTAAAATACCTTATTTTGTAATGTGTTTTGTAGTGCTTATATAATGGTAATATGTTTTTGCTAATTACTATGAAGTCAGCTCTGACACGTGGGGATCCTGTGTATAACAGAACAAAATGTTGCTCTGGTCCTGTGCCATCTTCATAATTGTTGGTATGTTTGAGTCCATTGTTGTGGCCACTGTGTCAATGCATTTCATTGAGGGTTTCTCTTGCCTTTGCTGACCCTCCATTTTACCAAACATGATATCCTTCTCTAGCAATCAGTCCGTCTTGACAACACAACCAAAGTAAGTAAAGTTGAAGTCTCTGACAATAGTCTGTGATCATCTTAAGGTAAAGCTGAGGAAAACACCCTTTTTAGATTTACATGGATGGAGAAGTATGTTTTATGGGAACATGATGCCTAACACAAATAGCTGGTTCAAGGCAGAGCAGGGAGCACAGAGAAGCTAGCAGAGTAAGGACTCTAGAGGAACTTGAAAGGCCCACCTGTTCTGCAACCAAGCATTTTCATACTGGCCTGCCAATGGTGCGTTTGAGTGAAGCATTATCTGCAGAAAGCTACTGCATATGTATTCTGGAAAGAATGTTTGTATCTACCAGGAGGTAGATAGGAATTGAATTAAGTATTGTGTGCTTGTCCAGAAGGATTGAATTAAGCAGAAAAGAGGTTGAATTTTCCAAGTAGTTCATATGTTCAGCTTATTTACCATTTGAGCTGTATTTTCTGTGTACATTCACTATGTTATCATGACGTTTCTACCCATTAGGAGCTTATGGTCTTATGTTGTCATATACCTTCCCCAACTTAGAAATGGTTTATGTTTCAAAACGTTTTTTTACATCATTTATGTGGAACTCCCAATGCATTTTTCTCAACATAGTGTTAATACTTTGTGATTTTAACCCCAGGTCAGGCCACAAGTCTATTGATTGCATAATGTAGCCGTAGTATTAATGTTGCTAGTTGCCATGAAGTAGTAGTAAATCAGTTGCTGTGTAGTAGTATTAAATCAGTAGTAAGTAGTCTAGGTTAAAAGATACAGAAACTGAGTGCCATTTAGAGTATAATCAGGATGTAGGGAAGAGTTTCTCAAAGAAGTCTCATTTAATATCTCCTACATCAATCATTGTACCCTGTCTCAGTTATCTAGTGCTGCTATGACAGAAATACCGCAAGTGGATAGCTTTAACAAAGAGAAATATATTCTCCCACAGTCTAGGAGGATAGAAGTCCGAATTCAGGGTGCCAGCTCCAGGGGAAGGCTTTCTGTCTCTGTTGGCTCTGGGGAAAGGTCCTTGTCATCAATCTTCCCCTGGTCTAGGAGCTTCTTAGCACAGGGACTGTGGGTCCAAAGGACACGCTCCCCTCCTGGTTCTTCATTCTTGGTGGTAGGAGGTTCCTCCGTCTCTTCGCTCACTTCTCTCTTTTATATCTCAAAAGAGATTGACTCAAGATACAACCTAATCTTGTAGATTGAGCCCTGCCTCATTAACATTACTGCCTCTAATCCTGCCTCCTTAACTTCATAGAGGTAGGATTTACAGCACATAGGAAAGTCACATCAGATGACAAAATGGTGGACAGTCACACAATCCTGGGAATCATGGCCTAGCCAAGTTGACACCCATTTTGGGGGGACACAATTCAATCCATAACAAGGAGATTATGGTCTAGAAGGAAGACAGACACATAAATAAATGATTTGAATAGAGTGTGGTGTTAATGATTGACAGCATGACCTATACATGTGTCTAATAGCTATATTCTACTACAAAACTACAAGGTTACTATGGTTTAGAAAGTAGAATGCCTTTAAAGTACATTCTTAGTAGACCAGAAGAATAAATGGAGTCTACTGTTTTGTGTAGAAAAACAGAGTGAATGTTAATGATCAAAGTAAAGTAAAAATGACTATAAAACAAGTTTCTAAATAAATTTCTATATTTGTAAAGACTAGTGAATAATTAATCACAATACTTCTATGGAAGTATATTGTCTAGCAACAAAAATAAAATTACTTTAAGAATCCCAGCAAAATGTTTTCTCTTGAAATAATCAGTGGTTAATTGGAGTATCATATTTATTTATGTTTTTTGCTTTCTAATTTTTTTATTTCTATTGTAA